TTAGATGGACCAACTGATCCAAGAATCAAAAACCCAGCCATGTATCAGAATCCTGGTAAAGAAATTGAAAAAGGAAGACGAACCAAAAGAAGATGAAAAGGAAGAAAAAAGTGAAGAGGCAAAAGAGAAAGAAAAACCTTATGTGCCTCCACCACCATACAAACCACCTATACCATATGCTCAACAGTTAGCTAAGTATAAAAGTGTAGGGCAGTTTAAGAAATTCATTGAACTACTAAAAAAATTGAATATCACTATACCCTTCACATAAGCTATCACACAAATGCCCTCTTATGCTAAGTTCCTCAAAGAAATCTTGTCTAATAAGAAAAATCTCGAGGACATTGAAACTGTTATGCTTACTGCAGAGTGTAGCGCTATAATCCAAAACCACATGCCCCCTAAGCTAAAAGACCCAAATAGTTTTTCCATACCTTGTGTAATAAAAAAGTTTGTTATAGACAAAGCTCTATGCGACTTAGGAGCCAGTATTAGCCTGATGCGCTTATCAATTTGCAAAAGGCTCAACATGGGAGAATTGAGACCAACAAGAATGTCCGTGCTACTAGCTGATCATTCAGTGAAATTTCCTTTAGGTATGCTAGAAAATGTTCCAGTACGTATAGGAAAATTCTACATTCCTACTGCTTTCATAATTATGGACATTAAGGAGGATTATAATATCCCTATTATATTAGGAATACCATTCCTAGCCACCGCCGGAGCCATTATAGATGTAAAAAGGGGAAAGCTAACTTTTGAGGTTGGTGAAGAAAAGGTCGAATTTATTCTCTCACAATTCTTCAAGCCACCTGCTATAGATTATTCATGTTGTTTCTTAGATGTCATTGACGAATGCGTTAAAGAAATGGAGAAACAACAAATATCCTGAAGTATTGAAAATTGCAATACCGCCTATTTTTGAAAATGATAATTGGTGTGGTGAGTACTAAGATGAAAATCTAAGTGAATGTCTCGCACTAACTCCTGACCTTATGCCTTACCCAAAGAAACCAACTATAGAACTTATAACACTACCCAAAGATCTAAGGTATGAATAACTAGACACTGAACTTGAACGACCTGTTATAGTCAACACAGATTTAGGACATATAGAAACTGAAAAATTGTTACATGTCCTAAGAAAATACCCAACTTCTTTACGCTATAACATCTCAGATCTAAAAGGAATAAGTCATTATATCTGCATGCATCACATTATGCTTGAGGAAGACTGTAAGACCTCTAGAGAATATTAGAGAAGAATTAATCCCATGCTAATTGATGTAGTCAAGAAAGAAGTTCAAAAGTTATTAGAAGAAGGAATCATATATTTGATATCCAATAGTAAATGGGTTAGTCTAGTGTATGTCGTACCAAATAAGGGAGGTTTTTCAGTTGTTAATAATGAAAAAGGCGAATTTGTAGCAAAACATACTCAAAAGGGATGGAGAATGTGAATTGACTATAAGAATCTAAATAAAGCCACTCGTAAGGATCATTCCCCTTTACTCTTCATTGATCAAATGCTTGAATGTCTGGCTATACACTCCCATTTATGATATTTAGACATGTCTTTAGGATTCTTCCAAATCTCTATTCATCCTGACGACTAAGAAAAGACTACCTTCACCTGTCCTTATGGTACATTTTCCTACCGAAGAATGTTGTTTGGATTGCTCCTACCACATTTCAGAGATGCATGATGTCAATCTTCAATGATTTTCTAGAAGATATAATGGAAGTTTTTATGGATGATTTCTCTGTCTGTGGGCAGAGCTTTGAAGGATTCCTATCAAACCTCGAGATGGTACTTGAAAGATGTGTAAGTGTTAATCTAATTTTAAATTGGGAAAAATGCCATTTCATGGTCCCCAAGGAATTGTACTTAGACACATAGTGTCTGACAAGGGGATTGAAGTTGATAAAGAAAAAATTGAAGTCATAGAAAACCTTTAACCTCCCAAAACTGTTAGAGAAATAAGAAGCTTTTTAGGCCATACCGATTTTTATCGATGTTTCATTAAAGATTTATATAAAATAACTAAACCACTAACTGAGCTATTGGTGAAATATGTTGAACTCATCTTTGATGAGAAATGTTTAGAAGAATTTTAAACACCTAAACAAGCATTAATCTCAACGCCCGTTATGAAACCTCTAGATTGGAGTGAACCGTTTGAAATAATGTGTGACACAAGTGATTACGCTGTAGGTGTTGTCCTAGGAAAACATAAAGATAAAAAAAATTCATGCCATATATTATGCGAGTAGAACTCCGAACGCAACACAAATGAATTATTCCACATCTGAAAAGGCAACTTTTATCAGTAGTGTTTGCATTAGACAAATTTTGTTCCTACTTAGTAGGAGCTAAATTAATCATCTATACTAACCATGCCACTATTAGATGCCTATTGACTATGAAAAATGCTAAGCCTAGACTATTGAGGTGGATTCTGTTATTACAAGAATTTGATTTAGAAATCAAAGATAAAAAAGGAACTGAAAACATTGTAGCAGATCACCTCTCTAGACTCGAAAACCTAAAATTTGAACAAGTATCAATCAATAATGACTTCCAATACGATAAACTTATTTCCTGGTTAGAAACTAACAAAATTCAAAATGGTTATCCTTTAGAATTAGAAAATCCTTATTTTGAAACTGATGAATTAGTGGAAGCCACCTTATCTCATTTCGCTATACCTTGGTACGCTGATTTTGTAAACTACCTAACAACTAGTGTTCTTTCACCCGAGTTAACCTACAAACAAAAGAAGAAGTTTTTCCACGAGCTTAAACAGTATTACTGGGATGAACCCCTTCTCTTCAAGAGAGGTACTGATGGCATTTTCAATCGTTGCATGCCAGAGGAGGAAATATAAAGTATTATAACTCACTGCCATGTGGCTCCTTATGGAGGGCATGTAAGCATGTCTAAAACTTGTGCGAAAATCCAACAATCCGGCCTCTATTGGCCTAGCCTATGGAAGGATGTACACGCCACATTTACAAATTGCGACCATTGTCAATGCATTGAATAATATCCTAGAAGTAGAATTTTTTGACGTGTGGGGTTTGGGACCCTTCCCATCATCCTTTAGAAATAAGTTTATATTTGTAGTTGTTGATTACGTGTCAAACTGGATCAAAGTTATTTCTTCTCCTACAAATGACGCGCGTGTAGTAATTAAGCTTTTCAAGAATCAAATCTTCCCTAGATTCAGTGTACCGAGACTTGTCATTAGTGTTGATGGGTCTCATTTTATCTCTAAAATATTTGAAAAGTTATTACCTAAGTATGAAGTCAGACATCGCATAGCAACACCTTATAACCCACAAACAAGTGGCCTAGTGGAAGTTTCCAATAGTGAGATTAAACCAATTTTAGAAAAGACAATTGCTACATCTAGGAAAGATTGGTCATCTAAGCTACCTGATGCTTTATGGGCATATAGAACAGCCTATAAGACTCCCATAGGAATGACATCGTTTAAAATAATCTATGGTAAGTTGTGCCATTTTCCAGTTGAAATAGAGCATAAAGCTTATTGGACGATTAAGGCCCTCAATATGGACTATGTGTCATACCCCAATTTTTGAAAGCTAAGATCCCATCTCCACTTTGCATTTTTTGTTATATACATCAAGGCCACGAAATATGGTCAGTTTCGAATGTTTCACCTTCGAGCATTTCCTGTGCAGAGATTATCAAGTGTTGTGAACATTTAATCTTATGCATGACTAACTTCTAACCAAGCACGAAGTGTATTTTTTGTTTTCTTTGATTTCATGTGAAGAAAACAGATCTGAATCAAGAGCATCAGGCGTTACGCCTTAATTAGGGTTTTGAGTCTCAAGCCGGAAGTGCAGTTGATCATTGATTCATCAAGAGAATCGTGTGTTTATTTCCATGCTCTGTTCAACAAGTGGCCTTAAGCTTCTCCAAAATTCTTAATAAAAACAGTCAAGGTTCCATGATCACTGGTTCATGTGTGTTTTACCTTGCCTTGAAATACAAGAAAAGAGCAGGCTATGTGAGTCAATTCTGAGCACTTCGACCAAAAGTCATCTGCAAGTTTTCTTTAAGATTTGAAGACATATTGTGTTTAGAAATCCATGAAAAGCCTTTATGGGACGCCTGTCATGATTTAAGAGTTTCTTAATCTATAAGTATTCTCAATGTGATAACATTTCGCCTCAAATCCCTCTTCTAGTGATCATTCGAAGCTTTTAAGCATGGTTTGATTTCTTATACTTACATGACGCGGGGTGAATTTAGTTAGAGTGGGGTGATTGAATTCAAGATTGCTTTGGAAGAATTTATTTAGAATACTTGGAATTTTCATCATGTGAATTCAAGTATTAACTAAATAGAAATTATCAAAGATCTTATTTAAGAATAATCATTTATCACATTAATATTTATTCAAGATTATTTTTGTGTGATTATTTTGATGGATTCACACCAAGGCCATTTGAATTCACATTAGGCATTTACTAAGGAGATATTGGAAAAAGAATTTGATTAGAATAATCATTCATCAAAAGAATAAATACAGGATGGTTACAACTTTCGTACAAGATTAATTCATGTAATTCATTTGGATCTCTAATACAAGATGCAAGATTGAGGTCTTAAGGCTTGCATAATTATTTATTCATCATTCAAAAATTCATTCAAGTATCAATCAATTCCTTTCCAAATTCAAATGGAAGATTTTGAATTTCATCAAGACAAATATAAAGGTTCAAAGTGTTTACAATTATTGAGAAACTTACATTCAAGACAAGTTTCCATTTATGTTACATAAAGAATTAAATTCTAGACCTATTGATATTAATTTCAAAACTTCAATCTTGCTCCAAAAAGGCCTTGATGTTCAACAATACAAATCAGCCCAATATCATGTTGCAGCCCCTACAAACCAGTACAAAAAATAGCAACGTATTTCCCATTTTCTAGACATGTAAAACAGTCCCAATTCTTCCCAAAAATGCTGCAAATTAGTCCAAAAAAAACAGCAACCTGCAATGGTCCAAATGCTGCCAAAAAACTGCAAACAAACTGCTATGAATCAACACATACCATTTTGCTACAGCCTGCTGCCCTCCATCATAATAGCCCAAAAATTGCATCAATATGGCTAAAGAAAAACTGCATAAAGAAGGCATCAAAATAGTTTGTCAAAACAATTCAAATATCCTACTGTTTCCCCCCTAAATGCCTTGTTACTTCACTATAAAAGCCCTCTTCATGGACAAAAAAATTCAAGGAGAGGAAAAACAGAAAAAAGGTAGGAAGTTTTTTCAAGTTTTAACAGCAAGAATCAGTGTAGAAAGGAGCTTAAGCATCAAAGGAAGAACTTACTGTTTTTTTAGAAGCTCCATCGAAGAGACTCCAATAGGTATTTCTTCTCCCTTTTGTTTCTGCATAATTTTTCTCATACATATATGAATATTTGTTTCCTCGTTTGCATAACAGCAACAATTTGTATTTTCTTTTCACACCACTTTATAATATATGATCACTTGAATTATCACTTTGCTGTATTTTTTTTGAGTTGCTGCATTTGTTGATATTTAAAATGTTTAGAAGTTAGTAATGATAATAAAAAACAACAGGTGCAGTAATAGCACAAATCCTGAGATAAAATTACCTTCAAATATTTTCTTGGACATACAATTTCATATAGAAAATCGCCACTCTTTTTCTGCTATCACCTTCTTCCGCGACACAAACCCACAAAATCACTCTCGCTCAGCTTCTCAGGTAAACTCCATCCTTCTCCCTTCTTGTTCCGCTCTCGATCGTGGACCTCAAATCCTCCATCTACTTCTAAGAAACAAATTCCACCAAAATTTAAATCCAGGAGATACTGTTGGAAAACCAAAGGTTAAAAAACTACTGCTTTTCAGTCAACACAAGCTAAACCAACTTGCACCACCTGTTGAGAGAACCTTTTTTAGTTTGAAGTGAGAAGAGATTTACCTTTTTTTCTTCATTGTAGGCATGTCATGTATATTGTTTTTTAAATATTATACAACCTACACACATGTTCAACCTTTTATTCATTATTGAGTCTACATCCTTATACATATAAGACGGGTTCGAAGAAGAAGGATATTTAATTTTGACCTCATTGAATCACTTACAGATGATAATGATGAGAGGGATGGTGTTTTTTTTTTCTGTTTCCAGCCTCAAAAGACCCAGCCAACAACAAATTCCCATGCTTTTGACTTATTTTTAGCTTTTCCTACTACCCGCCGTGACTCGACCTTCCGTCACTTCGCCCTCTCTGCTTATCCCTTCCATGAAAACTCTGTCGCACTATCTTTTTCTCCTTCCTTATATTTTTATTCATTAACTCAACCATCTTCCACCATTTTGCAACATCATAGCTTCACTCTCATACTCATCTTCGATCCGCTCAATTGCGGCTTTGCCTCATCTAAATCATCTGCGAGTCGTTCTTCTCCTCACTACCGGTACCATCTTCATCGGACTACCACCAACTTCGTCTAACCACCGGAACACAACTGATCCGCTTAGAGATTTAAACCTATTACCTATTGCAACAAACATTAATTTCTCAGAACACGAAGAGGACGAAGACGAAACAGAAAATACAACCAGAAAGAAAGAGTATCCAGGCACCTAAGTTCGTCGACCTCACTACGCCCTATAAATGCTATCCTGATGATGATCGCCACTGTTTCTGCGCATGATTCGGATGTGGTCAAAAGCGTGAAGAAGAATTGGATTCTGAAGCTATTTACAAGAGTTTTGTTCTTAGGGTTATGGCAGCTAGAAGTCCTAATGTTCAACTCAGAAGCTTTCCTGTTTTTTTTTTGTTTTATTCAACTTAGAGAGAGAGAGAGGATTGTGTTCTTATTCGAATTTCTTGTTTATTGTCTTATTGGAAACAATAATATTATTCTGATTGTCCCTTCCCAAGACACAACTAAATGGCGCCTTTTTCTATGTATTAGGGTTACAAAACTTTTCCTTGTTTCTTCCCCAAAACCGGGTCGGCCCAATCCTATTATCAATATTTCATCTTATTTCTTAATTAAAGCATAGTAATAACAAATAAATAACTTAGCTTAGTGGCAAAGCATGTCTCCTACAATCTAGGATACCCGAGTTCTACCCTTGCTGGGGTATTTTCCCGTTTTTTTAGTTCTTTTACTCTTTTCTCCCCATATTTTATTATATATTTCTTAAAAATATATATTAGTTTTAGTTCATTTTATATATAATTATTTATCGCCATTATAAAATACAAAAACATGTTATAAATTAATCTCTTATTTAATTTTTGTTATTTATTCAAGTACATGCTAATATATTACCGTTTATTTAATTCTTGTTTATTTAAATACATGTTTATAAACTAATCTTTTATTTTGTTCGAAAATGCATGTTAGTATAATTTAATTTTAGTTATTTATTTAATTGTTCAATTGTCATTTTAATTAACTTTATTCTCGACCATTTAATCTTTGTATCTTTCGTCCATCTAAATTTCAAGGGAAATGTTTTAACTTTGTTGACTTCATGTCATCAAAAACATCTTATACAATTGTGTGAATCCCTTCATTCATTTTTATTTTACTATTTTGTTAACCTTAAGTTAATTTTCCTAAAAGACTCAATTTTAAAACTCACACCTTTTAAGTCAAAACTTCGACACTAGCTCGTCGTGTCTTCAAAATCTCATTCACAACCATTTTAATCAAATAAACAATTTTAACCAAAAAAACAGATATTTCAAAAGGTTCCTGCAGAGTACCGTAAATGCATTGGGTGCTACTACCTTCCTATTGCATAACCAACCCCCTAACTTAGATCTCTTTTAAAAAATGCATTGTATTTTCATTACTTTTAAGTATTACTTTACATTGCATATTTAAGGATTTTATTTCGCTCTTTTCCCTTTTCCCTTGGAAATAGTAAAGCGCGATGGCGACTCTTGCTTTTGTGAGTCGAGTTAATTAATAGCTCCATCTCCAATTTACCCCGCTACATATTTTTATCGCTAAACTATGCAGCCGCAGGTGAAAAATGAGTGTTACATATTCATGAACTCGAGGAATTACGGCTAGATGCTTACGAGAACGCCAAAATTTACAAGAAAAGAACAAAGAAATGGCATGATAAATGCATAGTAAGAAGAGAGTTTAAATAAGGGGACTTAGTCCTTCTATTCAACTCTCGAATTTGACTTTTTCTTCGCTATAGGTGGTCTGGTCCCTTTGAAATTACCAAAGTTTTTCAAAATGGCGCGATAGAAATAAAGGATAAATCTACTGATCCATTCATAGTGAACGGACAGCATTTGAAACATTATCATTGTGTCAACGACATAGACTATTACACTAGTCTAAATCTTGAACATTTTCCCGCTTATTGACCAAATTAGTTTTGTTAAAAACTTTGTCGAGCTTATGATATTAAACGAAGCGCTTGGTGGGAGGCAACCCATATTTTAACTTTAATTTTAATTTTCTCAAATTATTCCTATTTTTTTCTTTGATATGCGATATTATTATTTAGAATTAACCATTAATAACTTAGTATCATTGTCTACTTACTTTTAGGCTAACTTAACTTTAGCTAGCTACTAACTTTCACGATGAAACAAGTGGACCATATGGATATCATTTTCAGAGGCAGGGCCCAGAGGAGGCGTTTTGAGGTTTTAGCTCAGAGAGAAATGATATTAACTATTTATCCTGATGGACTTACCATGACTAAATCAGAGAGAGTGTTATGTTTCTGCTTCACGAAATTGGTTGGGAATATTTTGCTGTGAGGAGAAGATTTAGTTCTTACCGGGTGACCTTTGAATTCCTGAGCTCCCTTGTTTATTTACCTAACCATGGTCTGGGATTAAATAGAGGCTTACTCACCTTTAGGGTGTTTGGTGTAGACTATCACTTTAGCTATAGAGAAATGACCAAACTACTAGGATTTCCAAATGGCCCTGATGCCTTTTCCATCACCCGAGAAGACCTCCCTATGAACCTTGAACAAAACTATTTTTGGGGTAGCATTTCTTGAAATAACCATCTTGAGCCAAATGACATGCATTATGAGAACATCCATAATCCTGCATTCCTATATTTTCATAGGATTCTAGCTCACACCTTATTCGGAAATGAACAAAACATCACCTTAGTGTCCAAAGGTGAACTTTTCATAATGTATTGTGCTTCATATGCCTGTCCCATAAATGTCGTAACATTTATGTTCACTAACTTTGCTCGTATTGCACAAGCTACCCATGGACCATTCCTAATATGAGGCCTAGTAACCTTGATTATCAACACCATTGGATTGCGACAACCACTTATTATACTTAATACTCTAGGTGGATTCTGACCCATGAACCTTCAATTCTGTTTTAACACTGGCATAATTGGAAACTTCGGCCCGAATGAGTTTGAATTTCTTATCAACAATCATGTTGTGCATCTGTTTAATTTTCCAAACCATAGGACTTGTGTGCACGACAGAAACAATGGGCTCTTTAATTTGGACAGACCATAAGATGCACCACTCTCTCCTCTCGAGACACCCCAAATTTATGACCATTTTGATGGATATCTCTCTGATGCTGACTCAAGTGCCTCTACTTCCCCTGCCGCTGCAGCTCATCCTATTGATCACATTGCTGCAATCGCTGCTTTATGGACTAATATTGCCAACCTTAGAGGCGAGTTGAGAACTTTGCACATGGATTTCCATGATTTAATGGACATAGTAATAAAGCAATTGGATCATATATATCAGCACATCTATTCTTCTGCTCCTCTTACGGGTGGCCATCATAGTGGCTAATGCTTTTGGATGATACTGCATTTCTAACTCTGAAATTTAAAATAGTGAGGATATTGTCTATTTTAAGCGTGGGGGAAATACCAACTTTAATATTTGGATTTCCACTGTTTAAAATTTTTATCATTTTTTTATTGTTTAAGAATTTTATTGTTTCAGTAACTTTGTAGAAACTCTGAGTCTTGTTCCACATTTAATGAGTTTAAATGAGTTATGTTGTTTACTTTACTACTCAGCTAATATATTCTGATAAGTATTAGATATACATTTTATAACTGTGTGTAGCGGTAGAAATGTTGAGATTAAACCATTGGATTGACTTAACTCATACAAATCAATTAAAAATCGCCACCTCGCTTTATTGTTTCCAAAGTGGAGGATATAACTTGGATTTAAAATCAACAAGATATCACTCAACACCAAAATAGAAAATGGCTCACTTCACTATATATCATAGAAGTATAGTAGCTTGCGTCACTACAAGAATCCACAAGGGTTTAATCTTTTGAGAAAAGTTTTAATGTAAAAGGTCAAAGTGGAAAAATGTTTTGAATGAGGTTAATGACTTTTAGTCTTTCAAAAGAAGATGGAAAAGTATGGTTAAATTGATTAAAGTTTGATTAAGAAAATATTTTTGAAAATGCATGGACCAAAGTCCAAGTTTATTATGAAAGTTGTTCAAGTTAGAAAACAAGAGTTTTAAAAAGGAGGGAGAATATTTTTAAAAAACTAAAGAAGATAGGAGGCGATGAAGGGGCTATCCTAAGTACACAAAGTAAAAGCTAAGGAAAAGAATGGTCTAACCAACAAAAATCCAACACTTGACATAAAGAAGTCAATATAGAACTTCCATCCTTTGGATTAAAACCAAGCAAGAAAAAATACTAAACCTCTGAGGAATACCAAGCTTCACATGAGTTAAGTCTTCACAAAATTTGGGCAGAGTAACTGCTGTCTACAGAGGAATTCCCAATCAGAGACAAAGCATAAAATCAGAATAACCCGCACACAAAGAAAATCAACCCAATGCCTTGGAGTAAATTCTAAGGACTTCAGACAAAATAACAACAGAGAAACAAGGTTCCAGAGTATCAAGACTTCTAATCCTAAGTCCGAGAGATTCACAACTCTACAATGCCAAGGATAGTAACCAAGTAGTCGACAAAGAAATAAGTTTTTTAAGATTCAATTTGATTATTAAGTGTCTTTAAAATAAAAGAAAACTCAAGTGAGAAAAGAAAAAATGACATAAACATAAATTCTCAAGTGAGCAAAAAGAAAAAATAACATAAAACATAAATGCTCAAGTGAGCAAAAGAAAAAAATGACATGAAAAATAAATGCTCAAGTGAGCAAAAGAAAAAAGGCATGAAATGTAAATGCTAAAAAATGGTACATAAAAGTAAAGGCACAAAATAAAGGCATAAAGTAAAGTTAATTAATAGTGAATTAGAAGTTAGAGGCCAAGTATAACAAAAGGTTAGTTGAATTACCATCTTGAAGCTTGCTTTTGAAAACTCATTAGAAGATTGATAAAATCAAAGTCTCTCAATAACAAGTTTCATTTGCTTTTTGTCAAGTATGTCGTTCATTTCAAGTACTCAAAGCTAACACGTATGACCAACGATAACTGAAGATCATACTTAGGCCAAAGTTAATGAAGGCTTGTTAGAGTATTGGTAAGACTAAAGCCTCCTAACAATAAACTTCAAATGTTTTGGACCAAAATCCAATAATTAATTATACTTGGGCTTTCAAACAAAAAGTTTGGGCCACGAATGATCATTTTTTGAATTGGGACAAATTTTTTCCTATGTTAAGCAATCATAAGTGAACTTATGTAGAAGACACACCTATTTTGAGGCCGGTCAATAGAAATATATGTACCATACATGTTAGAGAAATGACATGTAGATCATTCTCCAAAAACGTATAGCACAAGTAAAAACAAGAAAGGAATAAGATGAAGAGGGAGGGGAATGATAATGTAATCAATGCTTCAGATGAAATTAGGATTTCAAATATCATTAAAAACATTCATCCATTTTGGTGGATTTTATTTTTCAACCTATTAACTCCCAAGATCCAATGAGGTTGAAGAATGTGTCCCAAAGTATTAGTCAAGTATCCAAATCAGAACCATGCCACTATTCAAATAATAAAAATAAATTTTCATATATATATAT